TTCTGCGAACTACAGATCAAAACCTAGATTCATGGTGCGCATCAACAAGAAGCCATCCTGTTGAATTTCCATATAATCTAACATTCAGGTGCCACAAGGGGGCCGGCCGATCTCCATTTTCCCGGCCGACGTCAAGTATCATATCATAACCGGAATCCAATCAACAGACCCGTGCCTCACAAACCCTAGTGGTCCCACTTCCATCCCAATTCCAGCAAGCAAGGCAAGCGTATAGCACAACACAGAAGTAATCAACAATGCTTTCAAGTATGGCACCAATAATCCAAATGTACAATCACAAATATAAATTAATGTAGTAATAGTGACATAATATATATATTTAGTAAATAATTACTATGCAAATGGCAATGTTGATATGCATTTATTTATTATTATCAACTGTGATTGGAGAGCGAAGCTCTTAGCCTTGAATTCTGTCCTGGAAAGGAAGCACTAGAATGGACCCGGGCGATCCTATAAAAAAAAAAAAAAAATGGATGCCCTGGAAATTACTTGTCCGGAGATGGAGGCACACGTGCCGGATGTGAAGAGCAGGTGGGAGGCTGATGGCCGAGGTGCCCTGTGAGCAGCGGCAGTGAGTGGCAGTGGCAATGGCGTGAGTGAGCTTGGGTGAGGCGCTGCACGATCGAGGGCAGAAGGAGCTGGCCGCTGCACAATCTGGCAGCGAGTGGAGCTGCTGGCAGTGGCGCGGCGGAGGAGCAGCGAGGCCGACGGAGGTGATGCGACTGCCGGCGTGGGAGTGGCGGCGAGGGCTGGGTGGCGCGCAGCGAACCTGCTGTCTCTCGCTAGTCACACACACGAAGACCAGACCAGGGAAGAAGGAAGGAAAAAGGAAGAAAGAAGAAAAGAAAGAAGAAGAAGAAGAAAAGAAGGAGAGAGGAGGAGGGTGGTGGCTGGGGAGGCTTGTGGGTTCACCGTGACTGACTGGAAGTGTGTGAGAGTGAGGGGTAAGCGTTGAATATAGAGAGGAGAAGAGCTTTCTAAGATGGTTTGGGTCGAACCGGTTTCGATTCGGTCCGATTCGGCCCAATCTTTGGTTTTCAATGGTTTCGACTTTCTCATATCGGTTTTTCGGTTTGGGTTTCTCACAGTAATTTCGCACTAAAAAATATTAATATTGATTTTCAGGCTGTCGGTTACATTAAAATTTAATTGAAAAGTTTTTGAAAATATAATTTCGGGTCGTTTCAAAAATATTTTGTAAAGATAGCAATATACTATAGTTTGAATAGTACACAGGTTCTAGAAATTGTACCTATGCCTTATAAAGATAAATACAATTCAAATGTTTTTAATTTATGATCTTACATGGTATCAGAGCCTTTAATTCCTAATATGAAGTTCTTATGTAATGATTCTATAATTACAGTGGGTTTTCTTCAACATATTAAACTGCTTCCTCAGGTAAGCGATGCTAAATCCTTCATTATTTTTTGAGCCTCCCAATCAATTAAGAAAATAAAAAAAAGAGAGTTTTTAAAAATTTTTAGGCCGACTACAGGGATTTGGAAAATGTCTTTTCATTCATGTATAAAATGACATGAGGAAATATTAGACAGCGTAAATAAAGTGAAACTTTTAAGAATACTCAATCCGTCTCAAATCATTTGAAATACAGTTTGAGTACTATTAAAAATGGGTCTGAAAAGGTGTAACAGATCGGGAATAAGTATTTCAAAATAAATTTTAAAATGGACAATATGCGTATTAAAATTTTAAAATAAATTTTGAAATATAATTAAATGTAAATTTTACAAATATCCACCTCACTTTGACCATGATTATAACATCATATTATTGAAAACTATATTTTTATTTTCAAGATAGTGCATGACTATATATAAGTTAAATTAATTAAACATTTAATATCAACGCATTCATTTGAATTTAATGCTCTTTGAAAAATAAGTGTAAATTAATAATTAATCCATCTATCTACAAACAACAAATAAATTATATTACCTCATGTTCATAATATTTGTCCCAAATATTTGAAATTTCCGTCCTCAAAGAAAAATGATTAAATTTGTTTTAAAATTTATAATAAATTTTGAGTAAATTGATTATATTACCTTAATTTTATTTACTAAATGTTTCTCTAAGAAAAATATTAAATGAAGTAATAATTATTGTCATAATATAAATATAAGAGTAAACCATGAAGAAAATATTTATTACTCTTGAAACCAATAAATATGACAAGTAATTATTGAAACAAACTATTTTTTCAAAAACGTGACAGTATTATGAAACGAAGGTAGTAACTATTTGAAGTTAAAAAAAAATTACATAACAAACCGAAATTTATTTATTAACTATAACATAATAAGTATTAAATTTTTATAACTAGTTCAAGTAAAAAAAAAAAAAAATTTACATAACGAAACTAAATTTATTATGACATATTATTTTTCCATTTAAGCAAGACATAAACAATCAAGTAGAAAACATATCTTGCTTAAATAGAGAAATACTTCTTATTAAAGGGTACTACCCAAAACTACATATTGAGAATCCATAATTAATAAAACAAAACCACCACTTATTTCACAAATACATAAAACAGTTTGAAGCTTAGGCCACTTCCATTGTCACCAATGCCACTGCCAAATTGGATTCCTTGGAATATAATGATGACGCGTTTTCCACTCTCCTCGTTATCGGAATGCTTGTCAACTTCATTCTAGTAATTTTCTCAGTCGTGATGGCTGTCGATGGATGTCCTGGTTCATTCCTGTAATAAAGCCTCCTTTCGCGCAAGAACAAGATCCCAAGCATGATCATCAAGGTTAGAGCACCCAACTGGCACCCCTCATATTCTTGAATATTCGAGTGATTCGAATCTTCTCGTTTTTCTTATCTGTCACAAAAAGAAAAAACAAAAAAATCAAATCGTGGTTCTAATAACTAAGAATTATGATTTGGTGGATATAAAAAATTTATGCATTCTAAATCTTTTACAAATAGAAGTATGAAGTGAAAGATCTAGTTGAACCCGTTATATAGAGGGGGCAAGCTAGGGTTTCTGATGGGAATACTTAAATAATTTTAATTTGGTGATGGAATGTCCACCATATTATAATGTGTGGAGCTATAAATAATTAAATGGGTTTGACCTAATAAAATTATCACTGATTAAAATGATTAAATGGATAGATTTTAGAGAAAAAAATTGTCCATAATTGGGGACAAATCAAATAGAAATGAAAAGGCATACAAAAAAAAAAAAAAAAAAGTTAATCATTACTTAATCAATGTGGAATTGGTGATATTTACCCATAATGATTCACACCTGATATTTATTTTCGTTGATTTCCATTTTAACAGTAACATTTCATCTTTTCACAAAAATTAAGAAAATTAATTTAAAACAGATTGATTTTTTTAAACAATATACAGTAGAAATATTATAAATTGCCCTTTCTTAAAATTAAATTTTCCATTAAATTTTATTATAAATCAAATGCAATTTCATCTCTGTATTAAAAGGGACCACTATTAGAGTAAAAAAATTCCATTTCATTTTTTTCAAATAAATTGATAATATAAGAAAAAATTTTAGTTTATTTAACTACAATTAAAAGTAATGATAAAAAAGATAAAATAAATGTAAAGATTAAAAATAAATTGCACCTAATAAGTATAGATAATTGAAAAAATTATTATAACTCTCAAATCAAATATCTAAATGAACACTTAAAAGTGAAATAAAGTAAAAATCAATTCCGAAGTATAATTTACTTTAATAATTAAAAATAATAGCATTGAATACTAATGTTCTTTTCGGCAATAATTGGTTATTACGATTAGCTTTCAATGCACCTCAAGTCTGTAGTTTTTTTATCAAAAGCATATTATTCATACATGCTCATTAGGAAATTTGTAAATGAAAACCAAAAATTTATTTATTTTTTGTCATAAAATTACTGTACTAAGATTTTTTTTTTTTTTTTTTTTTTTTTTTTGGATTTGAAAGAACAAAAACGAAACTTGATATTACTTATTATAGTAATAAGCAAAAAGAAAAAAAAAATCCCCCCTCTTGCTGATTAAAAATGTTTTGTCTATATAGAGATGTTATGTTTGGCACTATAACGGAAGAAACCACCCCTAATTCAACAATTTTTGCTGAAGAAAGTGGGGGATTCTTGTCTTGCTGATATTTTATTATTCTGTCCAACTTCCGAATAGCCATTTGGCCGCACTTTGCAATTCATAATGCATATATGTTTCATGCTGATTGAGTGAATAATGGTGTCATTCCTACGTCCTAATTAAATTTATTTTTGGAGTTTTGGTTTGATTTTAATTAAATTTTGGAAAATCTAAAAAAATAGGTACCAGAATTGAAATAATGGAATATATCATAATGTGTAAACGCTTTTAAAATTCTTACAATAATTTAAAGAAATAGACAGTATATTTTCTAAATATGTATGCCAATGATAATATTTATGAAAAATTTCTTGAATCTGAAAATAATATAATTTTTCTGGAAAGAAATAATTGAATAATTTCAATATTCAAAAATCTTTCTATACAAATCAATAAAATGAAACTTAATTGATAAAAATAACATTGAGTTTCAGTATATTATCCGTTCAGCGTATTATCCTCGTAGGTTAAGAAATTCAACTTATGAAACTTATGAATGAATGAAATTAGTCCCTCATATTTAAATAGAGCATGAAAGAATATTTGTGGAGAAAAAAAAATTAAATGAAAAATTAAAAATCAATTTTCTAAAATTAGCATTAACTAACTTATAAGAAAAATACTTAATTTCTGATTTTGCGTTTCTCGGGTGCATATTGCTGGGGTCTTCCCCTTTTAATTCTCAATGCTAGTTACGTTCCCTTTTTTTTTTTTTTTTTTTTTTTTTTTTTTTTTTTTTTTTTCAATTAATAGTTGGTTTTTGCATTCCTTCTCATGCTATTGAATTTCATAATTCCATACAACATTCATGATCTAAATTGAAGTTTTAGGGAGGGTTCTTTTGTAAGAATATGACTTATTATAGTTTTTCTGAAAGGATGATTTGTTATAGTTAATTTTGATTTTCATTCGTTAGAAATCCTTTGTATTGTTTACAACTTCCAGCTGCAAGCTTTGCATTGTTTCTTTCGGTTTCTCTCTTGCATACTTTGGTAATAATGGATTTTATTTCCTCCTGTACTTACAGTTGTATGATATAATGTAATATAATTTACTGAATCTACATTTACCGATTTACTAATTAAGTATTTACTATTTACTGATCGATTTAAATATTTATTAAATTCACCAATAAAATTTTACTGTTTACGGACTGATTTACTGAATTAATTAATTTACCATATGAGACTTGATTTAAAAAAAAACAATTAAAACAACGGCCGTTTTAAATAAATCGGTAAATTGGAAATTTTGATTTTTTTTTTAATACTTTACTGAATCATTTACTGTTTATTGATTTACTAAATAACCTCGGTTCGGCTTGGTAAATTGGTAATTACTGAAGTAATAGTAGTAAGGTTCATCTCAAGAGCCCGTGAAGGCCCTAACTTGCTGGCTTTAGTCCAAGGTCACTGCACAAGAACTAATCAAATCAGGCCCAAAAATAAATATTTCATTAATTGATAAATTAAATTTTATTTAATTTTTCAAAAATAAAATTAGAATGTAAATATTTAAATCTAAAAATTATTAGTACTAAATTATATTTTCTCTATCCTATTTTATTTACATAATTTGATAAAATACGTATATTAAGAATTTATTGATAAGGTTCTAAATTTATATATGTAACAATTATTTTTCTCATAATAACTTTTGTAGTTGTTCATTAAAATAAAACATTTTTATTAATATCTTAATAAATTTAAGGAATAATAAGTAAATAAAATAGAACGGAGAGAGTATTGTTTATTATTTTCCTAGTGAATTAAATATGCCTTGATCATTAATTATGTTATTTTTGTAAGATTTATAGTCGATTTGTTCTAGATATTGATTCTTGAACTTTGTATCCTTTCTTTCCGTTTAGCTGTTTCAAACTAGAATTTTCAATTTCTATCTTCGTTTTTAACCTCTCTCTCTCTCACTCTCTCTCATCTATATATATAAATTTGCATTGTTCATAAATATTTTTGCTGAAAATGTTGGCATGCTTACAAGAAAACATATATATAGAGAGAGAGACACACTGTAGCTTTTAGCTGGTGTCACAGTTTCCAGAATCTCCACCAAAGCTTCCAAAGTCCTGCCTAGGAATGTAATGGTGGTTATTGACACTAGTTGCAGGAAAATCGCCATTATTGATCATATGATTCCCCTCAACAACCTTTCTATGCTCTTCTTCTTCCATTTCTACATCATTTACTGTTAAAGATTTCATATCTGTAGCCCAGCAGCAGCTCATGCTCATCAGCAAACTAAGAACAAGAACCACCCCTATGAACCTCATTCTTCGGATCGAATCGTATCTATATATCTCCCTGTTTACCCTGAAAAATAAAAATAGAACAATTTAATAATACATAAAATTGTAAAATCAAAACATATTGAATTAATTAAATATATATACCTGCTAGCTAGCCTAGCTTGCTGTATCAATTTAGCTTATAGCTAGAGAGCTAAATAGGATTTTTCTGAGGAGGAAGGGACAGGTTTAATCTAGCTATTTCTATATAGGGAACCAAGCTAGGGTTTTTGTGACTTTGATTGTTTTAAATTTTAATATAATAATATAGTCATGGGATCTCCACCAAATTGAGACAAAATGAAGTGGGATGGCCATACTGTAATATATTTTTAATTTGTTTTTAAACCAATTAAAATGGTGGGATTGAGATTTTTTTTTTTTTTTTTTTGCCCTTTTTGAAAGGTCATACATTGAAGCATTATAAATAGGAAACTCCATAACTTAGTGGTGAATTTAGGTGCAAGAGAATTGAAGTCAATTTAGCACAATGGGGAGAGCCTGATTGTGATGTCACTGATTAACTAATTAGTTTCAGTAATTTGTCTCTTATGTTTCTTCACAATTTAATAATATTTATATATCAAGTGGTTACAGTTTCGGCAAGATATTTAGAGACTATTTCTTTTAAATTGGAGGATTTTTTTTTTCAAGATAGGCTTTTTCAGATTCGGTCTATAAGTCTATTTATAGATTATGAAAAATGATTTGTTTTTTTTTTTTAAATGAAGATACTTTTGACAATTATTTAAAAAAAAAATAAGTATGAATAATTTTTAAAAACAGTTTGGTCTTTATAGACAGTTATAGAGTGGGTCTAAAAAAATCTTCTTCTTCTTGCTCATATCCCAAAATAATTTGCTCACTTTCTTTTCATCTTTTTTTTCACTTTGCTTTTCAAAAGAGAGTAATTTTTTTGATTTCCTATTCTACCCTTATTTAACATATATCTTTATCAACTAATATTGCACTAGAATAATTAATCAAGTCTAGAAAGAAACAACATAATTATTATTGTCACATATATTATCCAATTTCATAACTTTGAAATACATATATCATGATATTCACACTATTTAATATAATTAAAAATTATGGTATAATTATATTAATTATACTTAAGTCAAACTAGACTTATTATTATAAGATTGAATTTTAAGTATGAGGAGTATTTTCAGATTAATTTATTCTTATATTGAGATTAATTTTATTTTTTCTAAACTTGGAAAATACCTACTTTGACGAACTAATATATTACAGTATTCTGAACTTTACAGAATTTTGTAATTTAATCATATCTTGATATTTCTACCAAATTTTAACTCAATTTTGACTTTTTGTAGAAATTTCACCCTCGATTATAATTAAGGATGTACTTGCAAATAATAAAGTATTTTCATTATTTTTTAAACCTTCATGTGAAACTGATAAAAATTTAAAACAAAAATTACAAAAAAAAAAAAATCCATTAGTCTGCCCAATTAATGTTGAGCAGATTAAATTTTAATTTTTTAAAATAGATATACTAATTAATAATTTAATAAATATTTAAATTTCTATCAATTATCAAAAATCCCAAAGCATGGTATATAAATTAAAATAATAAAATTTTTTCAACCACATATTTTGTTTTCATATTATCTATATTTCAAGTATGAAATAATAATATGTGCCGTGATTTTTTACATTAATAATATAATCAAATTTTTATTCATTTAATAAAAATAAATAAATTTAATAACTTCTTAATTATTTTAATTGTAATGTCTCAATTATTATATTTTTTTAAATCTATAAATGTATCACTCACCGGATGTGAATATAATTCGACGTTGAAAGGATATTTAAATTTTTATTTTTATTATTAAATTTTTAAATTTATTCAATAATAAAATATAATATAGAGCCAGCTAAAATATAAAAGTTAAGTACCTTAGGATTTTGAATTATAATCATATTTTAATCTCATTAAATCAAATTAAGTAGTTAATTTTAAAAATTTTATGGTTACGATACAATAAAATTAAGTGAAAAAATAAAGATATCTTAGTATGGAAACAGATTTCAACCTTTTAAGGTAACATCTTAAACTAAGATGGGAATGCTTTGTTATTTTCATTTTAAAAAAAGATAGCTTATTTAATATTTTTAATTAATTTAAATAAGTTTCAATATTACAATCAAATAATTAAAAATTAAATTGTTGAATATGTTTTTTCTTAGAAAAATAAAATAAAAAAATTCAAGGGAAGTCATTTTCCGAAAGTAAACAAAGAGTGCCTTGTTGATTAGACAAGTAATATTTTGTTGCTGAATCATTACTTTTAGAAGATGCAATCAGTTATCTAAAGTCAACCCATTGCTAGGATGCCACTTGTCCCTGTATACGTAGCTAGGATTCTGATCTTTTGCTTAAAGTAGAGTCTAGCGTATGATGATGAACTTCTTAATTATAGGGCACTTCAAAAGATGTTGGATTAAGGAGATGAAAAAAAATCTTGGTGGAGCTTCCAGAATTTGTTATTGTCATTCCATGTGAAAGCATCAGAAATTAACAGCTCAGAGACAGATGGAGTGTCAAACGGAAAATATTTTTTAAGAGCTAAAGTTTGTACTGTGGAGAGTGGAGTGCTTCTTGTTGGCTAATGCCAGACAATGGAAATGCTTTTTATCTTTACAATAATGGCGAAGAGTCTATAATTCAATTTTGTTGCCATACAATTCCTGCAATTTTTGCATTTGTTTGCAAGTGGAACTAACTAGATTAGAAAGGTGTATTCTCTAAAAAATTTTAATTAGCAGTAAACAGCTGATAAAAGTCAAATAAATTATTCTCATGGATTGATAAAATACTTATTGAGAGCACTTTACCCTTTAATGAACCGATCCCGTGTGAGTAGAATTTAGTTCTACCACAGTGGATTAAGAATACTTGTGGTAATCTAAACACAAAAAAAGTTAAATCAACTGTTGATTCAATTAATTACATTTTTTTTAACTCTATCATATTTAAGTCCTTAATTTTTGTAAGTTTTCTAATTAAGCCAATTTTCAAAATTTTTTTTAGTATAATAAAAAGGTTTAATTTCATCGGGTCGTCGAGCGTAAATGTTTTTTACTCTTTCAACAAAATGCTCTTCTCAAGAATCGACTTCCATTTAACTGAGATCTAGAGATTTATAGCTATTATTTAATAAAATCATGTCCTCTTTAGCTAGAAGAAGGAAAAAGAAAAAAAAAGGAAATATATATAAAACATCAAAAAAACTATTATTACTATTATGTAGAGGTGTGTAATGTTATTAAAATTTATAATTTAGAGGCTATACCATCAAAAGATCTTAAAATTCAGTAGCAAATTTATGTATTAGGGCTTAAAAAGAAGACAAGGCTGAAACGACGACATTTCACTATTTATTTTTAACTTTCACGCGTGATCGTTTGACGCACAAGTATTTTGCAGTTGGGCCATTATATGAGCTTCATAATCATATTATTCAAACAACACAAACGACAAATCGCGGGCTTACGTTACATATCGAGTTTGATATTCCTCCTTTTGAATTGTCTTTCGGTTGTGCTTAGGACTTTTTAGTGGGCTTTTTCATCTAACTAGCCCAATGATATGTAATGATTTTTTTATATATTTTTATTTTATAATTTTAGTTTACTCCATGCATTCTTGTATAGTCCTTAAAATTTTTGGTGTTCAAATTAATTCAAATTTCATTTTGAAGATTTATATCGGATTACTTCACTGCAAATCGTGCACAATCCTAGTTTTGACAGTACATAAAATCATTGTTAAATACAATTTTTGTAACGTGTTGATTAATTTGTGATCCAAATCTTATAAAACTCAATGAAGCTTATAAAATAAAATACTTAAAATCTATTCGATAAAATTATCTATTTTGGCAATTGTTAACCGTTTAAGTAGCATTCTTAACTATTTAAATAGTTTTTCATAAAACGTGAAAGTTAAATGTTATATGAATTAATTTTTCACAAAACGCTACCTTAACCTTTAAAAGCTAGTTCAAATGCTATATCATCTAACACTATAAAAAATAGTTCAGTCAAAACATTAAGAATAATTTAAAAAGCTGTTATCAAAACAACTCTAACTTCAACATCAAATTTGAAAAAATTTTCATCATCACGTGGCATGAGTATTGTCAATGGCCCATTGTAATTATTCAAAAAGTAAGGGCATATGCTTTGGACCATAATAAAGACGAAATAAAATAATATTTTCTACATAAATTTATATATAGAAAATTAAGAAAATAATTAATTTTTTTAAATTGTAATAAAATAAAATAAAAATAATTGTGAATATAATTATTATCATAGTGGTAAAATTAAAATAAATATTTATTACTTTTTAAAATATTTAAAACGCTTTCTATTCTAAAATAAAATAATCACCATAAAACAATTTATATTTTGGTGCTAAAAAGGGTAACGTGTTCAGTTTATTAATTTATCCCAAAATTATAATTAGAGAGAACCATATTTTCCTTCTCTCTAATAGTCAAAACATTACATCAGAATTTAGAACATCAATTTTTTGCATAATTCTAACTTTTAAGTTCATTTATTGCTTGTGATTTCATCTAACACATCATTTTCAAAATCAAATAATTTGAATTACTTCTTTCTTAGGCAAGACTATTAGGCTTAATTTTTCCTTTCACACTAATTTCCACATTCATGAATTTAGTGAAAGTCAAAAGATCTATTTGTTGAGAATTTCATTTTCCTATTATAAGTTTATAAATGAGTCAGGCATGCAATTTTTCTATAAATTCCACATAAGCTCATTGAAAATGTTATATTCTATGGATTATAATTAGAAATTCAAATTTGATAATCTTCTGCTTAATTAATTTCTAGGCTATCCTAGATATTAATTTCTGTCGATAATAAATCCTTCAAGAATCAAGAAATAGAAATCTGTTGTGTAGTCTCAATTCAGAAAATTAAAGATTTAAAATTTAACATTTTTTAATAATTTTCTATTTTAGAAAAATAAGGGAAGGAAAAAAAAATTTGTACTTAAACATCTAGATTTCTCAATTAAAATATCCATTTGACTATATCATTATATACAAGCCAATACTCAAAAGAGTTAGCTAGGAAATGAAATTTGATCATGTGGGAATTATTCAAATCATTCAAAGATGAAAGAACACATGACTAATCCTTTAATCGATTAATACATTACATATGGAACTTTAAGCCTTTGGATAGGGGTATTTTTTTTAATTGAGAAAAATAACTATGGGAAATATTTTTAAAAAGGCATTTTTCTTTATTTGGAAAAGGGAAAGAATATATTAAAGAAAGTAATATTTCATTAATTTCTATTTGTACTCGTATGTTTTGAATTTCTCTAAGGGAAAATAATGGAGAAAAAATAAAAGAAAAACATTTATTTTATAAAATTATCCAAATACACCAAAAAATAATTAGAATAAGATGTTATTGTTTACAAATAAATGAACACACGTCAATTTTTAACAATACCATTTTCTTTCAAAAATTTTTCCCTTCTAAATAAAGAAAAATGAATTGATTTTCTTTCTTTCATTATATTCAAATAGAAATGTGAAAAATAATTATGAAAAAAAATATATTGTTAAGAAAAATTTTTTATTTATTACTTGTTTAAAAAAATGGTACTAGTGTCAATAAAATATAAGCAAACCCATCTACTTATTTTAGCAGAGGCTATGAAAACTTATTTTGATGTGGTTCACCCAACTTTGGAAATATATATAGTTGACATTTGAGGAGGAGAAATCCATGTTTTAATTGTTAATATCTATTTTAATTTATCTTACTAAGTAAAAATTTTTCGTCTAACAATATTTTGAATTCATACTTGAAATGCATATTTTTCCAGGAGATCAAACTTGAATTCATATTTTGAATTTAGAACATAAAGGTTCTGTCCTCCCTGTAAAGTATGTTTTCAAGTGATCGAACTTATATTCACACCTTTACGGAAAATTATAATCATTTATCATCCCAATCAACACATTGTTTACAAAATAAAATTAATTCTAATTGTACCTAAAAAGGCATAGAAGCAAATTAATATTAGAAATATACTATAGCATTCAAATCTTTAATTTCTGATATTACGAAACTAGACATATTTATTAATTAAATTTCAAACTTACCAAAAATTTGACTAGTAAATTAATAATTGTCTGCACAAGTTGACATTTGCAATTCCAACTGTGAACAGCTTTATTACGTGCATCAATCACTTCTAATTATCACCGACAAATAAACCAACTCCTATCCACTGTTGAAACAAAGATATTGCAATAACTATTTACACCGGCCCTATGTAAAATGTGAACAGTAAGAGGACATCAACACAAAGTTGTGCTTGCCTAAGCACGCAAGTGATGCATTTCATCCTGGAGACTCAGAGCCTAACACGCTCTAGCCGTGCTATGGGGCACGCCCGTGCCATAGATTCTTCTCTAGACGTGCCGCTGGGCACGGCCCGTGCTGAACCATTCTTAGAACTCAGGCTCTAGCACGCCCAGACCGTGTATAACAGCACGCCCGTGCTGCGAATTAAGTGCCGTCTTAAATCAAGAACGCTAGCCAGTCTCTATAACTTACATGGGCCCACCTCAGATACTTTCTTGATGTACAAATCAAGATCTAATCCTATTTAGGCAGATGGAAAAGTGATGTACAAATCAAGATCTAATCCTATTTAGGCAGATGGAAAAGTCTTAATTAAGAAGAAATCCAAAGCCTAAACAGTTTCTTATTTCCAAAAAGATTTCTTAAGGATTCTATTTCCTAAACGAAGTCGGATTTTCTCTCAGGAAGTCTATATAAAGAGAGGAGCCATTCATTGTAGATATATCCAGTTTTGATAGTTTTTTGTTCTATTGTTCTTCTCTCTTTCCAAGACTTCAAGCGCTCAAGATTTGTGCAAAGATTCAAGGAAGCCGTCCAGAATTAATTATTGACTAGTTTTTATCTCTAAACTCTTAATCTTGTTTACGTTTCATTATTCACATTGATTATGAAATTTTTATTAAGTATTATTGAATTTTATTTAATTACTATGTCGAACTAAACTTTCATACTAGGGATTTGATGTAGCTTAATTTCTTCTCCAATTTATAATATTAGATTTGTTTTGCTTTGTTCAAAGCATAATTTGTTATTAAACTTAATGCTTCCAGGCAGAGTTTCTCCCCTGGATTGATTTATTTCATTAATCACTATTGGGAGAAGAGTTTTTGATATGAAAAAGGTAATAAATTACATGAGAATAATAACTTGATGCGGAAGCTATATGGTTTGACTCATGGAGGGTTTTCAGACTCATGGAGGGTTTTTTCATAAGGTTAATGACTTTAGGCTTATGAATTCAAGCAACAAACAGGAAACTTAATGATTTGATTCGTGTTTGATTTGCCACTATTGGAAGATAGCGTATCAGACCGGGCTAAATAGCTAACAATATATCGGACGACTTGTTAGTGATTTTAGGGTTGGTTTCTTCTATTCTGAACATTAAAATTGATTAACCGAACTAATAAAATAAATTGGATAAGAATTAAGTGAAATCAAAAATCCTTAGTAGCCTTTAAAGTCGATTTGCTTTTTTATTCAATTAAAATTGATTAACGAACTAATAAAATAAATTGGATAGAATTAAGTGAAATCAAAATCCTTAGTAGCTTTAAATCCTTGATTTCTTTTATTCAATTACTGTTGCTTGATTTCTTTTTATCCTCTTTTATTTGTTAATTAATTTTTTAAAAATAATTCCCCTTATTGCCGTCTAAATAATAGTAGGTTAACATAATTTTGGTACTTGGTATACAATCTCTGTGGAAACGATACTCTTCGCATTCTATGTTACTTGTTGCGATTTCGTACACTTGCGAAAATCACTGTCACAAATAATAAGCAAACAGTTGACTATATGACTTTCTCAGTTGCCTTCCTATGTTCAAACTGGTAATTTGCTGAATTGGTAAGCATATATGCACAAATAAATTAAATTATTCCATTTTCAACTAATCTTTATTTTTTTTTTTCTGATTTCTCATTTGAGCTAGATTCATGTATTCTTCTGCTTTGAATTCATATTATATATATCATATCAGGAAACAAGCCTCCATCAAGGAGATATGAGAAAGCTAGCATTCAAAATCTTGTTTTTCACTCGCTTTATTTTCATTTCTCTTCTCTTGCATACCCTTCCAATATCATCTCAAGAAATTGGTAAGACTTTGTTTTCTTGAGTTCTTTTGTAATTTCATTCACAGAAACTTCTTTTATTTGATATTTTAATGAATTCATATATGTTTTTCGTAATTTGTAGAGGATGAAAAAGATTTTGATTACTATGAAGGCGAAAAAGGGCCAAGTCGATGGGGAGAGCTTCATCCAGAATGGAGTGCTTGTAACAATGGATCAATGCAATCTCCGATCGATCTCCTGAATGAAAGAGTTGAAGTAGTTTCTCATTTAGGGAAACTTAAAAGAGAATACAAGTCTTCTAATGCCACACTTAAGAATAGAGGCCATGATATGATGGTAAGCAAATAAATATTAGAAATTAAAAATTGTAAACATCAAAAAATTTATCTACATATTTACTATAATACAAAAACAAAATTGAAATTCATATCTACCCCAAAAACTAGAAAATTTTTTTTATTAAGTTAGGTGAGATGTATTAATTTGACCCAAAGACAATTACTAGAAGGACTGATTCAGAAGAGGTTATCAATTATTAATTTCTTAATTTTATATATATATATATATATTATTCCTAATTTTTCTTGATTCATCTTTTTTTAAAAAAGAAAAATTTTGGATGCAGATGGAATGGGAAAATGGTGCAGGAATCACTGAAATAAATGGAACAGAATATATTCTTAAACAATGTCATTGGCACTCTCCTTCTGAGCATTCTGTCAATGGAGTGAGGTTTGCATAATTAATATCTTCTAATCCAATTCCAAAAAAGTTGTAAAAAAGAAAAGACAATTTATATAAAATACTAATTATTTTGACTTAATAGCATTGGAGACGTTTGTAGAACTATAAGATTTCCAACTTGAATAATCAAGCCAAATATAAATATATAAATATTTAATTTATATATTCGTATATTTAATTATAATATAAAGAAAAATAAGTCTCTAATATATTGTAATTGCAGGTTTGCTCTAGAGCTACACATGGTTCATGAAAGCCTTGATGGAAAGGTTGCTGTTATCGGAGTTATGTACATAATTGGAAGGCCTGACTCTTTTTTATCATCAGTAAGTGTTATAAATTAAACTCGCAGTCTTATATTACGTTTGGTGAACTATTATAGTGTAATAGTATTACGGTTTACCAAACTAGCATGGATAAGAAATGACTTAAAACTCGTAATCGATATATATTTCTCGTTCATTAGGTCGACAAACATTTAAGATCAGTGGCCGGAACTAGGAAATTACAGACAGTGGTGGGAATGGTAAATCCAAAGAGCATCAAATTACGCAGCAGAAAGTATTATAGATATAAGGGATCACTTACAGTTCCTCCTTGCACTGAAAATGTCCTTTGGACCATTGTTACAAAGGTTTGCCCTAATTTATTATTATAACCTTAAAAATTAGATTAAATCTTTTGCTAATTTAATTCATTAAATTTCAGGTTAGGACGGTATCAAGAGAACAAGTGCGTTTGCTTCGTGTAGCTGTTCATGATGTGAGTAATAATTTTTGGTTTTATTAATAACTTTTTCCATAAATATATTATTTGGCTGATAAATTTTTAATAATTATTATTTAAATTAATTTTATATTTGCAGGAATCAGACACAAATGCAAGACCAATTCAACTAATGAATGGAAGATCAGTGCAACTTTATAAACCAGAATCAACTGATAATAATTAATTTCGTTAATTATTTCGTGATCTGCAGCTATGTATATGGTCATTATGATTAATAAAGTAGTAGTTTAATGTTTTTTCCATGTAATTTTGAGTTGTAAGTTAATGTCCTACGTGTAGATTATATTTCTTTTTTTTTTTTTCGGCTGATATAAATATATAGTCAATTGTTTTGTATAAATGGAAAGAACTTATCAGTACTGCTGGAAACTTATAATTAATAAGGAGTACGTAAATATAATTTAATTCTTTTTGTAGATTTTTTTTTTTAAATGTTAGTGGAATTAGATTTTTATTCGTGAAATTCGAACCTCCAAGCTACAATGGCCTAAACTAATCAAATGAATAATCAATTAATAATTAATTTTAATTGGTAGCCATATTTAACTTGTAATTGAATTTGAAATTACTTCCAAAATCATTAACGTACAATGTATATATTACAAAATATAATTAAACGAAATACACTCTCTCAATTATTATTCATCAATGTAAAAGTATTTATACAAAAATATAATAAAAAAATAAAATTACAATCATATCTTATTAATATTATTTACACACTCCTCAAGTTGATTTTTGAAGCACAGTTCTTGCTTCCTTGTATCAAACAAGCAGGTAAGACCAATTATAGTCTCAGATGCAATGAAAAACCATCAACTCATCAAATGATTTACAATCAAGAGATATAACTAGGCAAGATTTTCAACTTTTGGGATTTAAATTGTTATCAACCCATCATATGCATCATATCATGTACCCAATGTTTGCTATTAAAAACTTAGCATCAGACACATAACCAATCAAGAAGCAAAACATTCCACGAATTGACAAATCATTTAAGATTCTCTAACATCAAACACTAGTCAGCCATCAAATCCAAGCCGCTATGCACAAAAGCTCGTAAAAGATGCATAAACTAAGAAATTAGAATAACTTCCACGCCAATTTCAATTTCACACCAAGATAAAATGTGAAAGAGAAAATAGAAGAAAATAGTTAAAATGAAATTGAAATTGATAAAGAACAATTGACAAGAAAATAAGAAACAGATAAATCATAATTTTGGTATTTTCGTCTAATGTGATTGAGGAAAAATTAGATGAACATATTGAATCGCAAAATAAATAAATCGAAGAAAATATGAAGAGAAGACAAATTCAATTGACAAAATAGATTTACAATTGGAATCTATGAATAAACCGAATCATTGAATTGGCAAAACAAACTAGAATCTTTGAACCAATCTAAGCAAACAAAGTCATAGATCAAAAAAAAAAAAAAATGGTGGATTATCATCCCTGTATAATCCCCAATGTGAAGAAATTGATCGCTTGATTCAAAACGAATTCAAGCACAAAAGTAAAGAAAGGGATAAAACTCTAGAAATCAAAATCAATCGATGAAATCAACCAGAAAAGAATCACTTGAATGGATCAATACAATCAAGACGATATGCAATAAATTCAAATCCTCAGAAGCTTGAAACCAAAAATAATCGAAGCAATTAGGACAAAGTATCAAAATATCCAAATAGATTATGTAAAATCTCTAGAACTTGAAGAGAATGGAAGAGAAATACAAAATCGAAACAAAAAAAAAAAAAAAAAAAAACTCTAGAACTTTGAAGAAGAATGGAAGAGAAAGTACAAAATCGAAACAAAAAAAAAAAAAAAAAAAAAAAAAAAAAAAAAAAAAAAAAGATGAAAGCAAACAACAAAAATAAATAAATGAAATAAACTCAACACCAAACTTTAAAAATAAGAATCAATTCAAATCAAATTATAGGTCAAAACTGAAATGACTTAATTTAGTCTGTTTAATTTTAATCAAACTTTTTGAACTTCTCGAAACTGAGGTCGAACTAAAAAATGAAAGCTTTAGTTCCCCATTTAACCCAAAATTAAATTTTCTTGTAGCCCTGACCTCAAGTGTGGAATTAGAAAATACAGTTAAAAGAGTGAAATGAAATTTTTAAAATTTTTGGAAGCAAAAGGTAGTTTTATATTTTGTAAGGAAAAATGTTACTTTCTATAAGAAAATCTATTTTGTAAATTTTTTTTTTCGGGGAGGGGCAGATGAAGTATTTTGAATGACGCTAATAGAAAATCACCATTGCTAATTCTCAGCTAGATGATGAAGTATTAATAACTGATTAAGCATTATCATTGTTAAGCTTTCAGAATTTGAAGTGTAGTAAATTATGAATTAATTCTTTAATGGGATAAACTTGGAGTATATATACCGAATCCTAGGCAATTGTATTAAGATAAGGATTATGACTCCTATATTATTTGTTAATTTGAGTTTATTTAAGAGTTTCATATTATTATTTTAATATATATTATTATTATATGTTAATAGTAGTCCTCCTTAATTTATTTGGTCATTTTATGTCCAAATGTAATGCTTATGTCTTTTTACTGTCTGTTATTATTATTATTATTTATTATTATTTATTTTATTTTTTTAGGCTTTGTGAAGGCTGTCAAGTGATGGTAGCTTTTATTTCTACGAGAACGAGGCATTAGTCTTAGGGGGGCACCCAAGAGTTGCTTCAATTAATGAGGGACTCTTCAGTGCCTCGCCTGGCCTATATAAGGCCTCTCTCCCCCTCCCCCTCATTTGTTTCACTTTCCATTTCTCAACCACTAGAGAGTTTCTCTCTAGAACTCCTTTTCTCTCTAATTTTCAAGTAAGTTTTTTATATTTTCTCCTTTCCTTTTTTTTTCTTTTTTTTTTTTTTCATTAGCTAAGATCATAAGTTCCTCAGAGGACGAGAATGTAAGCATTACATGATCAATTTGGAGACGAGAACTTTGAGGATATAGACTCAGGGGCAGACAAGGCTAAAGATAGAAAGGAGAACGTTAGGATCATCGATGTTCCCTCTGATATTGACAAGGGTGAGCTGTTGGATATATATTTTATGTACAGTATAGCACTAGAGTATAAATTAATTGGGCCTTCAGAGAATATAAGGGTGACCGAGCCATTGGACGAAGACTCTATTATGATGTATGAAGAAAGTTTCCGATCTAGGGTTCGATTCCCTTTTTCTGAACCTTTGATCATTCTTCAATGAATACAATATCACCATTAGTCAACTGCACCCCAATGGCTTGAGGTTCCTATGCGCCATAGCTGCCCTAGCTCACTAAAATGGACACACTTTAACAGCTCAAGCAGTTCGAGAGCTTTATCACTTCTCCGTTTGCCCTAACGAGGATCATTGTTTCCTTCAGGCGAAGAAAGATTGGAATGTCTTCTCTGATCAGTACTGATGCAATCGAGCTTTCAGTAGTAGCTAAATACAAGTTATAAGGGCTCATCTTTCTTGGGTCTGCTCAGAAGGAGAGTGGAAGACAAGAAATCCTTAATCTTTTCGAAGGCGAGCTGGTATTTTTCATCCCATTGAAAATCCTTCAGCTGTTTTAGGATTCGTATAAGGGCATACATCTCTTGGCCGAACAAGAGATAAATCGCCCTAAGGCTGTAGTTTGACCATTCAATTGTTGAACTTCATGGATGCTGGTGGGTGCCTGCATCCCCAAAATTGCCTTCATCTTCTCTGAGTTCGACTCAATCCCTTTTTGTGATATCATGAAACCCAAGAACTTCCATGCCTTAACTCCAAATGTGCATTTGTCTAGGTTGAGCTTTATATTAAACCTTGTTTAAGAATTCAAATGCTTGCTGTAGGTCTCTAGGATGGTCAGTAACTCGGGTGCCCTTTATTATCTTATCATCTACGTATACTTCCACGGTTCGCCCAATCTGGTCTCAAAACATGCTATTGACCAACCTCTGGTATGTGGCTCCCACTTTTCTAGTCTGAACGGCATGACTTGATAACAGTAGATTCCCTTATCAGTGATAAAGCTCGTCTTTTCCTCATCTAGTTCGTTCATTCTTATTTGATAGTACCCAGCTGCTGCATTCACAAAACTATACACTTCATAGCCGACTATTGAATCTACTAGCTGATCTATATTGGGTAAAGAGTATGGATCTTTGGGGCATGCCTTGTTCAGATCGATAAAGTCAACACGTAACCTCCATTTTCCATTGGACTTTGGAAACCAAAACTATATTCGTCATCCACTCTGGATAGTTCACCTCCCTTATAAACCCTGCCTTTAAAAATTTATTTACCTTGATGGCTATAACCTGCTATCTCTCTGGACCATGGTTCTGCTTTTTCTACTTTATCGGCTTGAAGCTTGGGTCAATGCTGACCTTGTGGGATATGGTATCAAGATCAATCTCAACTATGTCTTCCGCGGTCCAAGCAAAGCTATTAACATTATCTTCTAAACTTGCCTTAATATTACCTTGTACTTCCCTTGGTAGATCCCCAGCGTCAAGTTCTTCCCCTATTTCACTTTTTATGTAATCAGCTCGCCCATAGGTGCTGGGCTGGAGTCTACATTATGTCTGGGGATATCAAAGGATCCCGCAGGCGTCAAGGTTCTTCCGCTAGGTTTCACGTTTTTTATGTAATCAGCTCGCCCATAGGTGCCTGGCTGGAGTCTACAGAGTTCACCTCCCTTATAAACCCTGCCTTTAAAAATTTATTTACCTTGATGGCTATAACCTGCTATCTCTCTGGACCATGGTTCTGCTTTTTCTACTTTATCGGCTTGAAGCTTGGGTCAATGCTGACCTTGTGGGATATGGTATCAAGATCAATCTCAACTATGTCTTCCGCGGTCCAAGCAAAGCTATTAACATTATCTTCTAAACTTGCCTTAATATTACCTTGTACTTCCCTTGGTAGATCCCCAGCGTCAAGTTCTTCCCCTATTTCACTTTTTATGTAATCAGCTCGCCCATAGGTGCTGGGCTGGAGTCTACATTATGTCTGGGGATATCAAAGGGTTGGTGTTTGGTCGATTTTGTCAGTGGTTCATCTTTTGGAATCCACATGATTGGTAGGGTAAGAGGCAACCCTTTTAGTGCTATCATGTATACTTCCTGAGCTACTTTCTGGTCTCCCCTAATGGCAATGACCTCGCCCTTATCCGAGTAAAATTTCATGGTGAGGTATCTGATACATATGGCAGCTTCTAGTTCATATAGGGTTGGCCTGCCCAATATAGCATTGTATGGAAATTGAATGTCCGCCACCATAAATTCTAATTTGAGTTTTCTTGATGAGACTTTGGTTCCGAACCCTAGGGTTACATATATAGACCTAGACACTTGCACAGA